CTCACTGCAATGGGGAGCATGGAGCATTTGTTGGGGTTGGAAAGTGCTTATGCTCAACTTGCATTGTGTGCTGCAGACAAAGCCAACTCTTTGTTGATGGGAGCCAGCAGGGCTGGTGTCAGTGGGGAACGCTCTGCCAGGTGTGGCAACATGGCCACCAAGACTCGCGGGCCATGCACCAGATGTAGTTCTGGTCTCGTCTTCAACGCCTCCGACTTCCCGCCCATTGACGGATGTACCAACCAGTCGAAGGGCCAAAGTAGACTACACGCTGGTCAACGCAGTAATCAGGTGTCGACTACAGCGAGGAGCAGCGCCGGCAATGCTGCAACAGCCTGTTCTTCACGCATTGGTGGCCCGGCTAGAGGTGGTGGTGGTGGTAGTGGGGGTAATAAAGGAAACAGAGCTTCCTCCACTACACTTAATGAGGAGGCAACCACGAAGTTTAGCATGGAGAAAGATTTTCCCGCCCTCCCTGTTGGTCAGAAACCTACTCCTTCCCCTCCTCCTCCTCCTCCTCCTCCTCCACCTCCTCCTCCTCCCACCAGCAATTCTGCCTCCTCTCCTTCCCCCTCCTCCACCACCACCGCCGTCACTACCCAATCCACTACTACTGCCACTGCTCCTACTGCTACTAATACTCCATCCTCGTCTGGCCGTGATGCTCACGAGAAGGAAAGCACATCCGTCACAGCAGAGAAATCCTCCCACACCGTTCAATTGCTTCCCAATCACTACATCACCGGCATACCGAATGACATGGTCGACAACCAATTTGGCATGCTTGGTCTTCTCAAGCTCACTGAAATCGAAGCACCTCTAGGTGCCTTTGCGCCGGGAATGAGACTCAGCCGCGAAAATTTTGACAACCTGCCTCCACCTGGGTTAGTCGCACCATGCCCTTCTTTCCATTACTTTCCACCTCACCTCATCATTGCTTTGTGCAGTAGCGTGCATATGCCATCCAATATGTCCATTGTCCCATTGTAGTGAACTGCACAGCAGTTTCGCCTCACCATTGGACGACCGATACACACTGCCACCGCATGAGACGGAATGTGACGTGCCTCCGGAGTATCGAGTGCGCCATCGACTGGGACGCCGTCTTCCAGCCGATCCGCCCTTACAACACCTCACAAACCAAATACTATTCTGGATTTTCTACAGCCTCCACGGTGAGGAGGCTCAACTCGTTGCTGCAAAGGAGCTGTGAGTGCTCACCTCGCTTCACTCTCCCCACCTCACATGCATATGCATATGCTGAGTGACATCAACCTACTCCCTTCCCACCTGCAGGTACAATCGCAATTGGCGTTATCACAAGACGAAGAAGTGGTGGCTCACTCGTGTGCCAGGCACCAAAGTGATTCGCCAAGGCAACACAGAGCAGGGCACCTACTACTGTTGGGATCCAGTCGCCTTCAAGCAGGTCACCCAACACCTCACCATCTGCCTCACTGACCTAGACGATACACCCACCACCTATCAATTGTCCTCGCCCACTCTCAACGCCACAGTCCACTACTTACCCTCAATCAGCCACCACCAGCCCAACCTCCACCACTGACCCCACTGACTCATGCCCCACCTTCTACACTATCCACGATGACCTCATCCACATCCATCCCACGTCCTCGTCTCCTGTACCGGAATGTGCAAATGTTTTCGTTGCTATCACCTTTTTACTCCCTTACCACACCCACCTCTGTGTCTCCCTCCTCCCTCCGTTCTCGGCTATCAGTCAGCGAATGCACAACATGTCTGGCTCACTTGCCTTCCACTTTTCCCTCACCATTGTCTCAAACATTGGAGCAGCCGGCGTTGATTAGTGCCTCCCAACTGACCCTCTCTTGAGCATAAGGCCCGGCCTGTTAATTTGGTGTCGCCTTGCATCGCAGAAGGTGGAGATGGAAGAGGGTTATTGGAGGAGATGCTCTCACCAAGGTGGCTACTCGTTCCACCCACGCTATATCTTTCCAAAGTGATGTTCATTTTATGCGACATCTTTGCCACAGCGTGGGGCATCTACTCCTCCTGTGTGGTCAGGGTGCTGTTGTGAGGAGACTCGTAGCACTGCAATGCTGTCGACACGATTAGAGGTGGAGCGCAGTGACAGATAGCCGGAGGTAGACCTCTGTGCTCCCCCAGACCAATGATATTCTGTTTAGGTTTGTGTGGCATTGAGGCGCGAAGGGTTCATTGCTGCTGTCGAATTGTAAACATGACCTCCCGTGTGACCACGATTTCAGTGCAGGTTTTGAGGTCGTGCAATGTCGTAGGTGGCTTTGCTGATGGAGTTTGTGTTGTTACTTCTGTGAAGCTTTGTCAGTGAAA